CGTACGGGGCCAGTTCAGGGTAGAGCTTCACTTTGTATTTACCACCCGTTACCTGCACTGGGAGTAAGTCGTAACGGTCCTTACCAGTAGTACAGTCTGCAGGTACCCGCGCTGGGGGATCAGTGTGGCGGTGTGAGACAGTCCTGTCCCATCACGCCAGGCAGGGATCTGGGGGGCGGGTGATGGGGTGAATGTTCTGCTCCCCTGTCACATGCCCAGCAGGGCGAGGGTGGGGATTCTCCCCCTCTACTCTGCTCTGGTGAGACCCCACCTGGAGTGCTGCATCCAGCTGTGGAGCCCTCAACATCAGAAGGATATAGACCGGTTGGAGCGAGTCCAGAGGAGGCCACAGAGATGATCAGAGGGCTGGAGCCCCTCTGCCATGGGGACAGGCTGAGAGAGTTGGGCTTGTTCAGCCTGGAGAAGGGAAGGCTCCGGGGAGATCTTATAGCACCTTCCAGTGCCTGAAGGGGCTACAAGGAAGCTGGGGGGGACTTTTTACAAGGGCCTGTAGTGACAGGACAAGGAGTAACGGGTTTAAATTGAAAGTGGGGAGGTTTAGATTAGATATCAAGAAGAAGTTCTTCCTGGAGAGGGTGGTGAGGCACTGGGACAGGGTGCCCAGAGAAGCTGTGGATGCCCCATCCCTGGAAGTGTCCAAGGCCAGGCTGGATGAGGCTTGGAGCAACCTGGTCTAGTGGAAGGTGTCCCTGCCCATGGCAGGGGGGTTGGAACTGGATGGTCTTTAAGGTCCCTTCCAACCCAAACCATTCCCTGATTTTATGATTCTGTGTCCTTTCTCAAATGTCCCGAGGTTGACAGGCTTGCTTTTGTGTTGGATTCACCACGTCCCTTCTGTTTTCACCGCGCACATTTCCATTCTAGTTCAACAGAAGGAAAGTACTGGATTCTGATGAAGAGGATGATTATTGATACTACTGTCAGACCCCCTGCCAAACAGAAGTCGTGGAAAAAGGCAAGATGCTGTTATCAGGCAGAATGCAAGATCTGAAAATGTTTACGCTTCTTTACTTTTTTTTTTTTAATGAAAAGGCCAACAAATGAACTTGTCTTGTAAAAAAGAAGGGGATTTTGTAACTTAAATTTTTGTAGTAGAAGAGGCCTGAACAGTGTGGGGTTCCCCACTGCTTCCTTAGCATGACCGTTTTGTTGCCCCCTGCTCAGTGTGTCAGCTACGCGCTCAGCCGCTGCACACGCCTAGCCTGCTGCTGTCGGAGGTACCACAGCACGAGGGGGAGCCTAAGGACGGCTCCGCGCTTCACACTTCCCTCCAGGCTCTGAATCACAGAACTGTTAGGTTTCCTCGGCCCCTGAAGGAAGCTCCTCCAGCAGCTCACTGGCCGTCTCTAAAACCAGGGGAAGGTGTGGGAGGATTTCCTGCCAGGCAGTCTGTAGTGAAGCTGTAACCAGCGCACAGCTGAGTGCTCCCCTGTGACATGCTCCGGCTGTCCCAGAAAAGTTACCTGTGTAACCCAGCCCTGACCAGACACCTGCTCTCCTGTGTTCTTCAGACTACCTCCGTCTTTATCAAATGGCTGGAGTGTTTCTTACCTTGAAAAACACCGTTTTCCTGAACTTCCCGTGACTCCCGCATGCCTAAACTAACACTGAACTTGTGCTACACGTTTATCCGAAAACATGGTTATGGGAATAGGTAGGACAAATACTGTAACGTGCCGATCAACACTCTACCGCCCCAAAACCCCTTTCTGACATAGCAGGACAGGAACATGTATGATCCCAGCTGCGGCGGTTTTTGGAACCGAATAAAACTGTTTAAAAAAGCGAGCACTGGTGCCTCTGGTGTTCCTCCTGTGGGAGTGTGGTTAAGAAGCATTTAAGCAGTTGCTGTTTCCGGGTGTTGATGCTCACCTGCATCCTTCTGGAGACGAAAGGGGCCGCGCAGCAACCCGCTTCGCGGACCCATCGCGAGTGTCACGAAGTCGACGTCGGTGCAGTTGCACGACAGCGCGCTGGGGGAAGCGTGCAGGGCTTCTCCCTTCAAATCCTCTCCCAGTTCAACCTTGGGCCACGTACCCTTGCAGGTTCAGTTTTCAATTACAAGCTTGGTTTAGCACATCAAAGGAAACTTGCAAAGTCGTCTTTTACCTAAATAACTTGTCAGTCGTTATCTTTCCGTTGTTCAGATGAGAGTGGGACTGTTTGGCATTTAAGTGCTTTTTTATATACATACACTGTACGTCCAGAATGCCTGGAAACGGGCTTTATCCTAGACTGAACACGGGATAAAACTGAAGCATGGCTCGGGCACTTAAGCAGCCTGAGGCTGACAAGGGAGCTGTTCTGAGACTGCAGGAGACTAGAAGAGGCAGGTTAATTAATAAATCTGTACTTTTTCTATAAACTCTAAGGAAAAAAATACTCTCCTGTTAGATGTTTTAAAGTGCAGATTTTGTTAAACACCAGTAGGCAGTGTGCACCAAGTCTGCATCATTTCCCGAGTAAGAGACGGGCTTTTTCTGGCAAATTTTACATTTCCTGGGGGGGAGAGTTTTTCAAAGGCAAGCACTACTTCAGTGCTTGGCAAATTCTGAAATTCCAAGAGTAAAATTCACTAATAATCACATAACCATGCCTTTCAAGGCTGAAACGTGGGAGTGGTGCAGCTGCGTCGTTGCTCGCGCCGAATAAAACAAAACACTTCATCTCTAAAATGTAACAGTATTGAACAGGTGGTTTTCCATAACCTGTTGTACTCCAAATTTGGTTTTAGTAGAAAAACAGCAAGTAAATTCACGGTTCACATCCTCTGATACTTCCATCTAACCCTTTTCGAGGTCATTTCACAACCTGCCTTAAACTGGCTCCCAAAGCTCTGCTACCGCCCTACGCGTCGGGCCCTGACGCTGACCTGTGCGTCCTGGTGCTCGCCCACGTGCTCCAGTTGAGCAGCGTACCCCGGCTACGCTCCGCCGCACCGGCACCGGGAAGCCAACGAGCTGACTTTTCTCGTCCGTGCCGCCAAGAAGCCTTAAGGATCACTTCGTTAAATGTGTGGTATTTAAAACACAAGCAACATCTCTGCTGCGTAGGTTGGAAATGAGATCTATGAAAGTTTACTTCATCTTAAACTAGACAAATAATATCGAGGTTATTTTTGCTTGGTTTTTCTTACCTTTTCCAGGTAAGGATAAGTGACTCTAGGTCACGATGTCACAAGAAGAAAAGACACTGACTTTGTATCTTATCTTGGTCTTTCGGCTTGTAAGAGCTGCCCATCCATCCTACTTTCTGGTTTTAATGGGAATGGAGAGCTAGAGAAGGAAGTTAGAGGTGAAAACGTTGAGTTTCACTGACAGTCCTGTACTGTGCACCTCTGCCTTAAACCCAAACCCCCACGACCTGACAGCAATAATCCATGAATGCCGGAGGGAAGAGGGAGAGTCATAATGAACGTAAATTCCAGCAGATCCCGCAATTTACAGACGGACACAAGTGACACCTCCAAAAACAGACGCAAGGGAATCTGCGTTCAACGCTTTGAAAAAAGCACTCAAAGGAAACGGCATTTTCAAGAGCTATTTTACTGCTTTTTTCTTTCCATCATTTGGCACAAATCCAAGGCACATCAGAAAACCAGATGAACTCATAAATTAGAAAAATAAACACACGACCCTCATCTCCACGCGTGCACTCGCTGCACCTTTCGCCTCTTCCATTAAAAAGTTCTTGGAAAAAACTCGCGGGTAGGCCTGCCAGCTTGGCACTCTGCCAGGCAGCTGGCCAGGCCCGCGGTTAAAAGACACAGAATCACTCATACAAACAGTTTCCGAAATACAGCGCAAGCTGGACGGGAGGAGCCAAGGCTAAAAACCACTGCGCTGTGAAACCCGGCGCGTGCTATGTACACGTCCTGCTGCCGTACCCGAAGCGGTCAGAAGATCGAGTCCAAGTCTGAGCAGTCATCTCGGTTCCTTGCAGCTTTCCATCGGTCAGCGATCGCCTCCAGGAACGCGCTTGCGCGCGGCCTGTTCTGACAGACGCTACCGATGTGAGAGGCACCTGCCAAACATGGAGCTTCACCTTCCTAAGGGCCTGCAGCACCCCCTAAGCTGCAGTTCTGCCTGCAGGTGTTGCCCAGGTTCAGAATTGTGGGTATTTGTGCATTTATCCAGGACTTGCTTCACAGTAAGAAAAAACCCAACCCAACCAGCCAAACCCCACTCAAAACGACTTTGTGCGCCCTTACGCACACTTTTTCTGACTAGGCCGTGAGCCCAAAGTTTACCTCTCTCAAGGGCTCTCTACTCTCTCCCAGTATCTTGGCTGTGTAAGAACTTGAACTTGCAGACCCCGTACAGGGGAGCATCGCAAAGAGGTCAGCAGGGTCACGTCCCTTCACACTGACACCACGTATAAATCTCTTTGCAAGGTGCTACCGACTCTTCTTTTCCCAGTTACTGAAATACACAGAAATATATACTATAATGGTGCGTAAATTTACAATAAAAATAGAGACATTTCAATTACCTCTGGCAATAAATACCTCGGGATCCAATATATCTTTATATGTATACTTCTCCAACTTAGTGATAAAAACCGAAAATGCACAAATTATTCAAAGACTTTTAAAAACAAAGTGGGCGGCTGAAAAATACGCTTCAGGGTTTCATTTGGTTTACTGTTACACAGAATTTTTTAATAAGTGCTAAGTAGAATAGCAAAGTAATTTTACTGTCTGCACCTCGGTACGTCCCTGCTGAGGTCAGTAACGATCTGGCTGAGTGGTTACCTCCAACGTACGCAGGATTCAGTCTTCCAGAGTGCTCGGAACACCCCGTTTGGGATTCAGTCTTCCAGAGTGCTCGGAACACCCCGTCCCTGCTGAGTCAGCCGCGCACCCGTTCTGAAGGCAGGCCTGCAGACGCCCCCGAATTCTGACACACAGCGAGCGAGGGGCTGCTCGAATGACCACCACCTAGTTCCTCAGCTTCGGACATCAAATTCGCGCCTCCCTGTCAGTGTTTTGAGAGCAGATCCTCGCAGCAGTCTCTTGATTGTGAAATACTTGCGTTTTGAGGGCTGGATGAGCCGTCAGCGCTGGCATGCTCTGCTGGCAGTGGCACGTTGACTGTATGTCTTCGGTGCATTAATTTACTCCTGTGAGGAACTTCCATCACGTCGTCACGTTTCACACACTCACCGCTGCATCCTGTGTCAGTAATCTTAACTTCGCTCTTGTCCAGCGTTTCGACAGATTTTAGCTTGGTTTTATCAAAGCTCTTAATTGCTAACTGTGAGGACAGGAAAACGGTACGTTAAAAGCATTGCCTACTTCCTCACAAAAACGTCAAATGAGTATTGTTTGTCTTGAATTATCACATTAATTTCACTGTATTCTCCATACTGAGAGCACAGCCAAGGACTGAGAATATCACACTTCGCAGGACAGTAATTATATTTAGCCTACGTGTGAGAAATTAAGAAAAGGCCAACCTGCCCAGGCTACGCACACATCAGTACCAGCACCGAAAAGGTCGTGGAGGCATTCCAGAACTTATTTTCACTGCACTGTCCCAGCATCATCCTCACTCTTCTCAACACCTTTTGTAATGCAGCTATTTCTTTTAATGCAGAGAGGCTCACCCAGGCCCTTCTGAAGGCCACAGCAATAACTCCCTGCTTCCAGCTCTCACCTGTCAGGGATGAGACACCCACCCTCCTCACCTCCCCTTAAAGACTCTTTTTGGTCATTCCAACCATTCTTAGCTTCCATTTCCATATCTGCTCCTGACTTTTCAGAATGGGTGGCTCTCCCTGGTTACTGGCCACTCTGCAAATGGCGAAATAACTAAGGGAACAAAGAGGATCCAAGCGTGCTAATGACAGAATTTCTAACACAAGAACTAAAGAAGAAATTCACCACGAAACCCTTTTACTGAAATAATGGTGGCAATCTTGAAAAGTTTCAGACCGAGATAATCCATGTTTAAACCCACTCACAACTTAGAGCTGTGTAACCTGTACATTCACAAAGCCATGACAGTCACAGAATCACAGACTGGTTTGGGTTGGAAGGGACATTAAAGACCATCCAGTTCCAACCCCCCTGCCATGGGCAGGGACACCTTCCACTGGACCAGGTTGCTCCAAGCCTCATCCAGCCTGGCCTTGGACACTCCCAGGGATGGGGCATCCACAGCTTCTCTGGGCAACCTGTCCCAGTGCCTCCCCACCCTCTCCGTGGAGAACCTGTTCCAGATGTCTGATCTAAACCTCCCCACTTTCAATTTAAACCCGTTACCCCTTGTCCTGTCACTACAGGCCCTTGTAAAAAGTCCCCCCCAGCTTCCTTGTAGCCCCTTCAGGCACTGGAAGGTGCTATAAGGTCTCCCCGGAGCCTTCTCTTCTCCAGGCTGAACAAGCCCAACTCTCTCAGCCTGTCCCCATGGCAGAGGGGCTCCAGCCCTCGGAGCATCTCCGTGGCCTCCTCTGTACCGGTCTTTATCCTTCTCATGTTGAGGGTTGCACACAGTTCAAGTGCTATATATCACGGTCACATGTACCTGCATGACATGCCGCCTTCAGCGATCCAGTTATAAAATCTAAATCCCACGTTTAATTAAATAGTGCGATATTATCATTAACACTAGGAAGGATTAATAAATATTACAGTTTTATAGCATTAATTTGGCATTCTCAAGGCTGTTTGCAAACACTAGATGTCGTAAGGACTCTATGCAGAGAACACAGGTGGAGATGAGCAGCACAGTCCGCACTTCCAAGGCTGGGTCAATCCAATAATGGGCAGCTACTGACCCAACCTGGTAGAAAACAGTTTTAGTTTGAATAGGGTAGTTTTTCTCTTGATTTAGTAAGGTGAAATGGCTCAGCAGAAGGTCGAATAAGAACCAAAGCCAGCGTAAAGGAGGAAGAGGGAGCACATGCTCTGGGTGGAGGGCAGCATCCCACAGTCAGGCAGGCGCAGGGTGCCACGGGACCCCAACCAGGGATGAGTTGGTTACGTGTATTTGTGTCACAGCTGACACCACACCACGCACTTTGCTATCACCCTTGCACACAATCTCCTCCTACAAGCAGACCTACCATGCAACCCCCACCTTTAATCTACTGAAAATTTTCTGTCTTGTAAATAGCATTTCTGCTTGTCTGCGGCTCTGATAAGCTGCCGAGTTTTTCCAGCCTTGGAATACCCTAGATTTTGCTGGACACGGCACAGAAGACAAGGCAGAGATGAAGCCTGCACTGAGAGGCTTAGGAGAGGCTCAGAAGTACGAAGGGGACGTTTACGAGGTGCTACAGAAGCACCACTGAAGTGTGAACAATGACGAAACATTAACAATTTAGCAAACAGGTCAGAACTTCTGGGATTCACCAACCACCACTAGTAGAACCTTCCTGTTACAGGCACCTACACTAACAGCAGACAAGGCAAACGGTTTTGCTGTCTTAAACAAGTAACTCGAACAAGTATTTTCACTTACCTGATGCAGTAACTGATAGTCAAAATTAGGGACACTTTTATCTCTTGTTATTGTTCTCCGTAAATGTTTTGCTCTAAAACACATTTTAAAGAAATTAAATTTAATTAGGCCAGTCTTCCCACAGAGGTCCGACCACATAACCCCACAAGGTGGCATTATCTCAGCAGAGAGAGGCCCCTGCCTGGCACCACCACCCCAGAGGGACAGCCTGGGGCTCCATCCGCCCTGCGTCCTCATCGCAGAGCGCACGTTCACGTTTACACAGACCACAGGCAACACCCACCCACCGAGTGAAGGACTCAGATAATCTTTTTAATCAGTCTGGCTCTGAAATTCTTAATTTATGGTACACCGAAGTATTAGTGCAAAATCAATTTCAGCCCTTTTGTAAGCACTGCTCTGCCGGCCAGCTTTTCCCTCCTGCTGCGCAGCACGTCGCTGCTGCTCACCACCAGTGAGCCCACAGCATCCGCCTGGGCGTGCGAAGGTGGAGGATTAACATCCACTGTCAGATTAGTCACACGTGACGTGCACCAAGGCTCAACCCACTCTGGGGCTTTATTTACAGCTGTGTTTCTTGTTTGCTTATGGGAAACAATAAACGTACTTCTGGGGAAGCGTCTGCGCTTACTTGTTAAATCTGTTGATGGACTGGACCAGCTGAAGTTGTCTGCCTGTGGGATCATCGGCTTTCTCACATGGCTTAGAATTCACTAGGGGTTTAAAAGAACAGGCAGCTAAAATTAAAACTGAGTCACACTGAGGAATTAAAAAAACACAGTACTGAATGAAAAGAGGTATCTACTGACACTACATTTAAAATTTCACAGTAAAGCTGTAACAGTAATAATTTGAACCAGAGTCACCATTTATCTTTGGAAATCTTAAAGCATTTCAAGTGGCAGGAGTAAGTGTTCTTCATCATATCAGCATGACTGGCAAAGCTGCTGAAGAGTCCGTGTAACTCCGGACTTCGAGGCCCTTTATTCCCATTTTTACAAACCTGAATTAACCCAGAGAGGCTATACCACCTCTTCATTAGTATCACTTGGTCACGCCTCCTGCTGTTCCTTGAGAACTACTCTCATAACATATGGAAGGACTGTATCAATCTTTGGCATCAGCAGACTGTGATTAATTTTGGGTTTGCATTAACGAAACATTCACAGTCTTTCCTAGGGAAGCAGGTAAGAGTTATTTTGCAAAGCCTAACTGAAACTCACGGATGCTGAAATGGGCACTCCTGCCCCACCTTCCCTGATTCCTGCTCGTGCAGCCCGTCTTCCTTCCACAGTGCTGTGGCAGGGGGTCCCCTCTGCTACGCGGCGCTGCCTAGCTCACCACACCACGCTACGCCCCTTGCCCCAGGTCCGTGAACTGTATCAGCTTGAGAATCAACCTGAACAACTTCCGAGCCAGCGTTAAGGGGAGCAGTGGACCAGCAAGACGAGAAGCTGAGGATGGACGGCGGTAGCACCATCCCTTTTAAGCGTCAGCTCAGCTGCGATGTCAAACTGTGCCGTGTGCCTCAACACATCTGCTCAGGCTGCACCGTGTGCTGCTGCCGCTTACTGGGAGACGCTCCTCTGCCAGCTGTGCTTAAGGGTGTAGCCAGTCCCCTTTGTAGCTCCTATTCCTCAGCCACAATATGCGAGACAGTGACTAACAGAAGGGTCGCTCCCTTCCCCTAACCCGTTTTAACCCATCAATGTGAATGACGACCAGAGGTGGTTTCAATTAGCCTGTTTTACTTTGCACTGAAATGGACAATCATTACCTGGCTGATTATCTCATCTCAAACGTGACATGTTTTTTAACTTCAAATGGTTTTGTATATAAAAGTCCCACACACCCCCAAAAAAGTGAAAACTGCATTTGCGGTGATGTCATGACAATAACACACCTGCTGCACTTAGTTATAGAATTTTAGGGGTTGCCTGTAATAAATACACAGAATAGTTGTCTGTTCTTTAATTATAGGTAAATCAATTATATAAAATACTTGACGTAGCTGCACACGAATTCCTAAATCCCTTTTTATTCATACCAGTGGAAATAGGACATGTACCTTTTTTTCTTATCTTGATAGTAGTATGCTGCTCACACTCCTTGTCTCTCTCTGCTGATGTAGGTACATAGCTTGGTGCTGTTTCCAGCAACTTACTGATATTTGAATTCTTAATTTTAAAAGTTTCCATTTTCACCATTATTAAAGAAAAAGAAAAACATCAGTACAATTTAGGATTCTAGTCTACGCAGAGTGTGCTTATTAACTGCTGACAAAATGAATGTAACACACAGAGAAATACCTCATGATAAATACAAACTTTAAACGCCATGACTTTGAGCCGGGACAAAAATCAGTTGCAGTGTAAGAGAGTGATGACTTTGAGGTCCTGACCTACTCTTTTAAACTGTATTATTTATGGTTAAGCTAATTTCAGCTTAAATGGTGATACGCATACTAAAATTGGTTCAGTACAGAATTTTGTGGTCATTATGCTAAATCTCAGAGGCTATTTAAGCACATAAAGATAGGGACCATGCATCAAATAATTTAAAGAGTGAAATAGTTCTTTATAATTTAGTATTACCAATTCTGTTATTGCTGTTAATAAAGAGGAAGGTCAGAGTTATTGGTGACAAGATAAAAGGTACCAAAAGGCACGAAGGGCAAAAGATGCTAGCAGTGTCACTGATCAGTGACAGGTGTTCTTGTTCCTACATTCAACATTTCTGCTCTCTGCCATTACTAGCATAGGTTTTAATGTCATTTTCATGCAGGTATGTGCTGTCACTCTTTCTAGACTCACCCTTTTTCTCTAGGATAACTTGTTTTGGAAACACAGCAGGTTTCATATACATCGTATGGTCCACTCAACAATACACAGGCATCACACTAACTGTTAAATACAGAAGTCTTGGCAAATACCCTTGTGACAAGTAGTTGTATTTGATTTCTCCCTGACATTATGCCTACAGAACTAGGGAAATCCAACCTCAGAGGCGAGCTTTCTGCACTCACCGGCTCGGCGCAGTCCGCGGGGGTACAGTTCCTTTCGTTCCTGATGTGCGTCAAGGCACCGTTCTGAAGCAGCAAGCCTACCAGGGCTTCATTCTTTCCTGTCACGGCCTCGTGCAGCGCCGTATTCCCTTTGGCATTAGAGAGGTTAACAGAGGCTCCGTGCTGGACAGCAAGATGAAAATGAAGTTAGAATGGCAGAGCAGTATGAAATGGGGACAGCACATTACTGGTCTGGTTTTCTCTCCTTTTCAACCTGTGAATGACAATGCAACAGAAGCCTTGTAGCTGCACACGAAGGCAGAAAGCACGTGCTAGCAATCACCAGCTCAACAATGAGCCACCTGTTCATATTAGTTTCACCTCTCTCATGGCCACAATTTCATGCATCAGCTCATTTCATTTCTGCATGGATCTACCGCATATTCCAAGCTTAAGAAACAGTGAACAAATCACAAAACCCATAAAAAACCCCTGTGTGACAGACTCATAAGCAGGAAAACCTAACAGCTGCCACAAAAAAAGTTCCATGACAACAGCTAGCTGTACAATAGTATTCATCTAATATTTATCTAATAAAAAACATGAAGGGGAGGGATTGAAAGTAATGAGACAACAAATACTCTTATTTTTCCCCCAAGTAGTTTTGACAGAGAAATGCGTAACTAAAAATACTGATCCCAGGTACTGGGCAAGCATTGATACCACATAAGAAACACTATTCTGAACGTTCTGTTTTCAGTGATCTTACCTGTATCAACAAGGCAGTAGTCTCATACTGACCATTCAAGCATGCATAAATTAAAGGAGTATTTCCATAGATATCCTTTTTATTTTGTTTAGCATTGCAATCCATCAGACACTTCACCACCTATTGAAAGCAGCAACAACGCTTTAAGATAGCAGTTAACCATAATCATGCAGTGAAAGCACCTCTTTATTTAAAAAAAAACCAAACCAAACAACAAAAAATTTTTTTTGAAATCTAGAATGAAAAAGAGATGGAAGAAAAAAGGGCGGAGAAAACAAGCCCCACCTTTGGCAAACATGATAACCACAAGCATCTCTTCCTATCATACTCCTTTTCACACTTAACCACACACTTTTTTTAAAAGACCTTAAGCAACTGGAATAAAGCCCAGAAAATAAAACTGGAGGTATGTGAAAAACATATATAATCAAGAACTTAAAACATTAAAACCAAACCATGACAACAGTATCCATTCCTTTGCAAACTCATCAGAACACTTGGAAGGAGTTCTTGATGCTGTAAACACCTCATGAACTAACCTTCACTGACCTGCCAGTCTGAGTCGTACGCTCCTCTTCTCCTTGCTTCCCTAGTGCTTTGTCTCCTCATCATCTTCACAATTCCCTCAATTTTTTTCCTCTTGCAGTCCTCAGCTCCTTATTCTTAAACCCCTAAGTTTTCCACTTCTCTGCATATTTCCATTTGCCTGTCTGTACCTGCTTTTTCATGAGCGTTATTTTTCCCCTCTCGTTTACTCTCCCTCCTTTGCTACTAGCTCATGCTTCTCCTTCACTGCTTATGCTCCAGGGATGAGGTTATCTCCCACCCTCAGAGCTCCACTGGGCTCATAATCTACTTAAATGAGTTACTCCACTGAAGATACAGGAAATATTTAATAGTGTGAGTGTTGAAGATACCAAGTCTACTGCATCAACAGGGTAAGCATCATAAAGAGAAAATGCACAGGAAGATTCAGCTGCACAAGGTATGTTTAAAGCGTTTGCTGTATGACCAGAGCTGTCCCCAGCACTTTACCAAACCGTTATTTCAAGTCATTTAGACAGAAAAGGTGCCTACTGCAACCGTTCCGGTTGACAGATCCCCTTTCTGTCTGGAGATTTTAGACACCGAAAGAAAAAACAGAATGGCCGAACTAATTTTCACTGTTACTGGTTCAGTCTTGTTGATAATCTGTTTGTAACTTCACCACCACCAAAAAGCCGTTTTGTGAAGTGTGAAGCTGCTTGCGTTTATGAAGAGGCTCAGTTACCTGGAAGTGACCTTTCTGGCAGGCTAAATGAAGAGCTTCGGCGTGTTTGGCATTCTTGGCACTGATACTGGCTCCGTGTTTCAACAAGAGAGAGACAAGTTCGGCGTGTCCATACAATGCAGCCATGTGCAATGGTGTAAACCCATCTTGGTTGGAAACGTTTACCCCAAGTCCATTTGCGGAGATCCTTGCAAATTTCTGTTGAGGAAAATACACAACAAACTATATAATTAATCACAGTACTTTTGTTGACCAAAAAGTAGCCAACTACCTGCTAAGTATACACAAAGCAGGTAGATGGGCATTACAAGAAGTTCTGCTACAGAGCCTAATTTGAGATCTTCAGGAAAAGTTAGCAAACCAGAGCAGCTTGGCAGTGTTTTGCAACAGAGCAATGAGTTTTAGTTTTCCCTCTTTTCTTCCAACATGACAGCTTTGTGGAAAGAAATGCCAGGCAACTGCTTATGACATAAACAGAAGGTAAAACAGCACAGGTTGAGATGGAAGCAAAACTCTACAGTTCTGCATAGCTGTTAGGATGCTCTTACACATGGAGAGTGTTCGTATTCGCTGTTACTTTCATTTATACAGGCATTTATGCTCTCGGAGACAGGCACTACACACCTATTTTACAGCTACATGAAGCTTGAGGCAATCAGGATTAAAACTAAAATTAATTTGATTCATGTGGGCGTAAGGCTGGCCCAGAGAACAGACTCCCGTGGGGAGTCAAGATAAGGAAACTACCTGGAACCCCGCTTACACGGCAGTACAGAACATCCATTTTCACTCTGCCTGCAAGCTCTGTAGGTGCCTAACAGTTAGAGCAGTAGGCAATCTCTCTTTCTGCTTACCCTCAGTGTGCTTTTAAATGTGTCCCTACCTAATACACTGGGTCAGAGGAGTTAACAAGTTCCTTCTGCTCGTCATTCAGTAGGCAAGCAAACGCCACAGGAAACGCCATCCCTTCCCCTGTTATCAGTAAATACTCTGGCACCTTTGGCGCATGATCTCTGTACGCAGGGTGCACGGACACACGTATCAGAGAGCAACACACAGTGTGAATGTGAAGCATTTAAGGACAAATAGCATACTCTCAGCCTGAACAAAATAAACATAAGGTAGCAGTGAGGAATTTAGAAGGAGTTAAGCCATCTCCCATTTTCTCTGTTAGGCAATATGGATAGTTACCTCAAAGCAGCCAATGCACTGAAAATTTATACTTTGGTTTATTTCATAATGACTTAGCCAGTTATATATACCTCCAGACACAGTAACGCATGTTCTTCCTGAACGGGAAGTAATTGCTGTTCTACTTCCAAGAAGCTGGGATCATTCCTTATTTAAATTAATTTTTTTTTTTTAAGTATTGTAAAGCCTGATTCTCCTCTGCAGCCATAAGCGGAAAGGAAGTCTTTGCAATTGTACTTACTCTCTGAAGAGGTTTTAGATACAGCTTGCATGCAAGATGTCATGCAATTAAAAAAAAGACTGCATTACGTTGACTGTAGGATTAGCAGGTATTCCTTGCTAAACTGATTACTAACAGCTCAGTACATAACTGTCATAGTTAGCAAGGTAAACCATACAAGAGAACCAGAAGAAACTGAGGCTTAAAAAAGATTTTCCCCATTTATTCAAAGCTGTCCAAACCTTAGTGACAGCAGTGCACGTATTCTAAAGCAAACTGCAAGGCTTTTTAACTCCGTTAGATACTGAGCAGATCCTTGAACAATCTTCCCATACTCAAAATTTTCTACAGTTCAATTAAAAAAAGAACAATTTCATGACATCAGACAAACTCTGTTAGAATCTGTGTGTATTAACAGCTTTTTAGACAGGATACAGAGGGGTCGGGCAATATAAATGCTATTTCCCTAGAGCTAAAAGTTACATCACGAGAATATAAATTATTCTTTTTACAGAACTAATATTCCAACCTTTTGTGCTGGCCCACATTTTGAGCACTGGCATAAGGGATGGCAGAATTCCTGTTTTGATGTACCAACTGTGTCGTCCTCATCTTCTAAGTCTTCTTCCACCCATTCCAGGAGATAACGTACCTGGCAGAAAAAGCAAGTCCTCCTTTACAGAGTCCAAAGGTTCCGTGTCCTAATAAATTTGCATGTGTAGACAAGTAAGATGTTACAAGCATACACGTGTGACTACCTCAGGGAGACTATACAGCTTTCTCCTGGCATCAGCTGCCCACAGGCCAAATTAAAAAATCAAATGCTACTGTTGACAAAGCAGCTAGAAAGTTCAGCAATTACAGCAGCGAAGTAAATGACAAATGACTTCCTGCTGCCTCATCAAGACTTCAGTGTCCACCTATTCTCCAACCCTCCAAACCCTTTTAGCTCAGAAGACTTGTGCCAGCTCATTTTGATGCAAATTTTGTTTCATCTTTTGCTCTGACAAACATAAGAAGTGACAAGGATGATGACATTTCACTTCCCAGGAGCTTGACAGAAACATACTTTGGGAATAAAGTTTAATTCTTTCTATACAGATATTTCCTCTATACTGTCCCAAAACATTTCTTTCTCACTATAGATATAATAAATTTACCAAAATGATCTTTCAAAATGTAGAATTAGTTGCCATTGAGTCAGCTAATTAAAGTAACTGTCACTGATTGACATAATTATCTCCAATCGAAAGCACACTGGCTTTTTCAAATGAGCAGGTGCTACCATGATGACAAAGGTTGTTTTCTGGCTTCCTGAACAACCACAATTTTATTTTTAAAAAAATCTTTCAGTTTCATAGCACACTTTTTAACACCTCTTCTTGCAAAGCTCAATTGGCTGCCAGAGCGGAAAGCTACAACAGCACTAATGACCCCACTTCTGCTTCTGTTCCTATGGAGACAGACCTCAGGCTGTCAGAACAAGGTAAGAGTTTTTAAATAACTGTGGTTTTTTAATAGACATTCAAGCTGTAACCTTTGCTATCCAAATGGACAATTCCCTTTGTAATGAACAGTTTTACATGAACCTGAATAATGTGGAAAGTAAAGCCACTAAAAATAAGGTGATTCTGTCATCTGAATGCACAGATTGTATTGTTGGTATCTGTTGAGCACTGTTAGACATTGATTTTCCAGAAAATTACAGCACTAAATTTCATTTTATTTAAATATTTTCATGATGCAGTTTAGATTTTCACAAAGTCTGTGAAAAGTTAATTGTAATGCATTCATGTTTCCTGCTGGCCAGAAGGCAGCAAATATCACCACTCTGTGTGTCGCTGCTTCTTGAAATGACTTAAGGGCTGACCTGGAAATAATTACTAAGATTAAGTTACACTGTGCACTAGGATAGCGGTATTTTCTTCAGAACTGAAAGTTCTTTCCTCTATCAATTGATAAATTGTTTCTATCATCTAACTGGGATAAACTAGGAGAATCAATATTAATATAGTATGCATTTTGTGAGGCAGGTTTTGTGATGTTTCATTAGCACCGGTAATGCCTGGTACATACCACCTGAACAAATTTTTCAGAATATGTATCCAGCAGAGAAACTCTGCATTCTCACACGGTTTCGGGATTTTGTTCTAAACTTGTGAAGATTTGCATCAGGTGATTCATAATGCAAATCATATGATTTGCATTTAGGTGATTCCCTCCTGAAGGGAAC